ATATATATGGTCATGGGACATGAAATATAGTGTGGGAGTGGAGTCAAGGGAATTGTAATAGATATGTATGATATTGGGGGGAAGTGGGGCAGCAGATTGGGGGAGGGGCGTTGTCACTTCGAGGGGTAAAAAGTATAATTATTGCACTGTGTTGTACAGCTGAAACTAATTCTAAAAAATGTGTATTTCATAATAAAAAATAATTAAAAGAAAAAAAATAGCTCTGTCTAGAAATTCTTCCTGTAGTGGTTTCCAAGCGAGTGCTGCTGTCTGTTCCCCTAACAGTTCTTCGTCTGTTTCATTTACTTGTTCTTATTCTTCTGTTTGTCTGGGTCCCAAAGCTCTGCCTCCATTCCTCTGTGAACAACCCTTATCCCATGGCCTCATTAATAGTTTTTATACTGGTAACTGCAGGTGTGTGACTCCATCCCTGCTGTGAGCTGGCCTCAGACCTCCACATGCCGCTGCCTCTGTGATCCCTGCAAGACCCCCCGAGGCCCTGCTTCACTCACACTGGACTTCAGCTCCTTATCAAGTTCTGCCTGCAAACTCGATGGCTCCTTCCTCTGCATCACCTATCTTCCCCACCAACCTCCCCCACCCCCCAAACATCACATTGCAGTTCCCTCCTCTCTGCCCCCACCCACTCAGGAGCCATCTTCATCTAGGCTTCTCACTACATATAAATCCTTATTCAGACCTCATCTTACTACTTAGCTGTAAATTAAAAATGCTACCTCTCACTGTCACTCCCTCTCAGCCCCTAGCCTGTTCTCATGCTGTCTCCCAGAGGCGGGCTGACAGTCCCATCCCGTCATTGTCTGAGGCGGGGTGGGGGGTGGGAGATGGGGAAAGACCCTAACTTATTAAACACACATGATTATCCTGGCACCGTGAGCATGTATTTTACATGCACAGTATAGGTACATAAATGTGGACATTCTCGCGACGACAGGGGCCTTTCTGCAGAGCTCTTGAAGCCTGCAGAGCACATCCTCGAGGAAACGATGGACATACGAGGGAGCCTGCCAGCTTCCCTTCTTGAAATGCACTCTCGAGTGGCTTCCTGCTGCCAGTTTCCCAATCTGGAACTTGGGTCATGCGCAAAAGCCAGAGTGGAAGGTCCCCGATCACCTTCTCTCCAACTCTCCTTGGTGTCAAGATCACAGAAAGGCCTAGAACTGACGAACTTTGAAGCCTTGCTATCTGTCTCTCCTCGTGTGGCTGTCTGGGGCCCACTTCTAGAAACTCGAGTGCTTGTTTTGTATAGTTCCAAAACAAGAGGAAGAGAAAAGGCTTGCACTCTGCTTAAAAATGTAATTAGCACCATATTTTAACAACATTTGACAATAATTGCTTCCCAACAATGCTGAGAAACCTGCAGTGCAGACTCCCCGGTGCCACTGTCAGAGTGAGTGATTCCGAAGGCCCCGTGCCCTGGAGACAGAGCTGCAATAGCCGTCTGTCCCTCAGCCTGTGTCCCCTGCTCCTTTGGCTTGGAGGCCATTCTCAAGGCTGGGTGGCTTACGGTTAGACTCACCTACAGCTAACCTTTTTACTTCTTCTTTTTTTTTGCTTTAAATTTTTATTTAAGTAAATTTTTTATTTTTCAATTACAGCTGACACACAATAATTAGTTTGGGGAGTACCAACATAGTGATTAGACATTTATATAACTTATGAGGTGATCATCCTGATAAATTTAGTACCCATCTGACACCATACACAGTTATTACAATATTATTGACTATATTTCTTATGCTAGAACCTACATCCCCATGGCTATTTTGTAACTAGCAATCTGTACTTCTTAATGCCTTCCCCCTTTGTACCCATCCCCCCAACCCTCCTCCCATCTGACAGCCATCAAAATATTTTCTGTATCTATGAGTCTGTTTCTGTTTTGTTTGTTTATTTTGTGCTTTAGATTCCACATGTAAGTGAAATCATATGGTATTTGACTTTCTCTGTCTGACTTACTCCACTCAGCATAAAACCCTCTAGGTCTATCCCTGTTGCTGCAGATGGTGAGATTTCATTCATTTTTACAGCTGAGTAATATTCCATTGTATATATGTACCACCTCCTCTTTATCCATTCATCCATTGATGGACACCCAGGCTGCCTCCACACCTTGGCCATTGTAAGAAATGCTGCAATGAACATGTGAATGCACATGTCCCCTCAAAGCAGTGTTTTGGGTTTCTTCAGGTAAATACCCAGAAGTGGAATCACTGGGTTCTTCTTTGTCTCTTCTCATATATAGCCTTTGTTTTAAAGTCTATTTTGTCTGGTATAAGTATTGCTGTCCCAGCTTTTTTTTTGTTTTTGTTTTCATTTCCATTTTCATGAAATCTCTTTTTCTATCACTTTTATCTTCAGTATGTGTGTGTCTTTAAATCTGAAGTGGGTCTCTTGTAGGTGGCATATGTAAGGGTTTCATTATCTTATCCATTCAGCCACCCCATTTAAAAAGGGTTGGGTTTGCCCAGACTATTGAGTCATTTCAGAGAGAAAGGGTGAGATAAGATGCTGTCCTACTGATGGAGTGATTTAGAAACTCTTTTATTTGAGACTGGTCCTACTCTCTGCTCTTTGCAGTGTCTTTCAGTGACAGGTTGAGTTTACAGTTCTTATACCTTCCTGGCAACAGGAAAAACAGTCTCCACTTCCCAAAGTGGAACCTGATTGTTCCAGGGGGCCTCATGCTCAGGGTCAATGTGACTCCTTTACTCTTTGGACTCTGCTTTCTAAGACACTGGTCATGAAACCAGCAGTTTGCTTACTTTTAGCAGGTAAACCATTTTTCCCTTCATTTTTTGAGGGGAACATTTCCCAGGGACTACAAGTGTATATTTTTAAGATTGAACTACGATGCGTGGTTGTGATAATTCATGTGTGAACTCTGCTTCCCACACCTTGCCTGTTCCAGGCCAAAGTCAGCTGATCAAAGCCAGGGCCTGGGATTTGACCCAGGGACAGAGAAGTTGAGAACGTCTAGGCTGGGGCTTATGCTGGAGGAGTCAGTCGTAGTCCAGGCCAAGCACAGGTGAAGTTATTAACTCAAGTTTGTATTTCAAGCACCTGTTTCCCTTCACTAAATGGATAACTTAAGTCACAGATAAGGATCAAGATGTTTATCATCTCCCAGTTTATTTTCTTACCTGTTTGCTTTCCAGGTCACTTTTATCAGAATGGAAAGGGTGGTTAACAGAACCCATGGACCATAATATAGCTGTCTCTTGTGAAAGTGGGTGAGAGGGACTGGGAAGAAAGAGGCTTCAGAACCACCTCTAACCCCGCTCACATATGCTCTATATTTCTGTGATGTGATGAACAGGGGCTCAAAATCCAAGAGTCAGAGCCTCAAGGAGTGCTGGATTGAAGAGCAGTCTCAATTTAAGACCCATTCCCACTGTCTTCTTGGGTGCTATACTCACCCTAGCACCCCACACTCCCCACTTGGGTTTCGTTTCTTGCTTCACTGATCCCTGCCCATCCCAGTGATGAGCCATCCCATTCTGACTTCAGGACACAGCTTCCCTGCCTGCACCCCAGGAAAAGCCTAGCCCTGGGCTCGCCGAGCCTACTCACGCCAGCCTGGCCCCACAGTTTTCTCCCTCGATGTCTCCTCCAGCCACGTTCTCAGTGTTGACAGACTCCGTCTCACTTGTGGGCATGCTCACTGCAAGAGTCAAAGGGATGCAGAGCAAGACATGAGGTGGGGAAGAACAGGGGAGGGAAGAGCATTAGTTTCTAACACACCCACCCCCAGGAGGAGTGCTGCTTGGGAGGAGGGGAGCGGAGCAGCCCTGGCTGGCATGGGGAGGGGTGCTAGATGAGTAAGCTGAGGACCTGGCACTGCCCTGGCCAGGCTCGGGGACTTCCTTGACTGAGTGGTATGCCTGCTGCTTATCTAGGGTAAGTTTTGCTGCCAAGGATACTCGAAACTAGTGGGAATGTGGGAGGAAATCTGGTGACAAGACCAGTTACCTTATAGGAGACATCCTGAAAACTCACCATTGAATCCTTTCTCTCCCCTTAACTCGATGCCCCAGAGAAGCTATGCAACCTTTTCCATTAGCATCTACTACTTGCCATAAAAGAAGAGCTTTCATGAAAATATTTTATTTCTCTTATTTTTTCCACCCACCAATTCTAAGGGGCTCTATCCCCCAAACTTGTTTGTACCAAGGGTATTTCTGCTGCCTGCATGAACTACTGGCAGATTTAGAGGACAGCCCCTTTCCTGTAGAGTGCACAGGGTCCTGAGTCTGTTATGTCTAGGACCGTCCCTGAAATAGAGAGCTTGAAGAGAATGGCCATGAGCAGAATCATATAGTAAGATTCACATTAGCGCTGCAACCTTAGGAAGGAGGAAGCCACCAAATTAAGTTTACACATAGCTTGAAGACAGACTTCCAGCAACCTTGACATTCCCACCTCAACAGGGGATGTAAACCATCTCCTTCCATGAGTGCCAACCTGCCCATCCATCTCGTCTCTCCCGAGGTGACAGGGGCTGAGTGTGCAGACCAGCAGGAGTCTTCCCCTCATTTGGTGGCTCAGAAGAAGCCATTGCTTTTATTATATTTTATTCCAAATAAAGGTTTAAGTCAGGAGAATTCTTTCCCACCTCCTGTTACCCCTTTAATAGGATACAACAATGAGTTCCTTATTTGTGCTAACCCTGGTCAGTGGCCATCATGGCATGGATTCTGGTTCAGCCTTCTTGGCAGAACAGAACTCTTTGTGTGGAGAGGAAATCACCAGCCCTCAGCAGCTAGAGAATCTGCAATTAGTGAGGGTGTGGCATCAGGTGGTGTGGTACCACATGAAAAGTCCCCAAGGGGCCATCACAGCCCAGCAGACTTCTACTGGTTACATGGATAATATTGCTGGGTGCGGATTTTTTCCCAGTTTCTTTTCTTGTGGATGAACACAAGATGGGAGGGTGAGAAGAGACTCATTTTAAGAGCATTGAAGATACAAAGAGAAGCCCATGATTTACCATGTGTTTGAATGTCACGTGTGAGAGACTCCACCCTAGGACTCATTTTCAACAAAGTTAAGTAGTGAGAAACACAGATGCTATTAAAGTTTGGAACTGGATGGGACTTTAGACATTATCCAGCTCTATCTTGTCCCCTTCACTTCACAGGACAGGAGTGTGAGGTCTAAGGAAGGGACAGAAGCCCAAGGTCACCCTGTGTCTGGGCAGGACTTGTACCAGAGCACAGGTGTCATGAACCCCTGCACCATGCTCATCCTGATTGTCCCCGTGTTGACCAAGTCCCTTCCCTACACTCTAGGACAAGGTGAGGTTCTTGAAGCCAAATCAGGCTCTGGGAACATCACAGGAGCATGGTGAATAGACAGATAATGGTGTTTAATTTTGCAGCATTTACATTCTCTTTGCAGCCCAAGGTCTGAGGGAACTAGTGAGTGAGACCAAGCCTTAGGGATGGTTTTAGCACTGGGGGCTGGGAAGACAGATTTTCAGAGCTTTTCAGAGTTCCTTTCTCCATCCACACTAAGGAAGATGTAATATAATTGAAGAGCTTTTAGTCTTTCAACTCATATGTCTCCAGCCATTTCTGACCTAAACTTCTTTGAACTCTTCCAGCAGCGTTATTTAAAGAGCTGAGCTGTGTACAAAAAGTGATCTGACTTTGTGACACTCTGCTCCCAGAGAGCCCCTGGGGTGTGCAGTAGTGTGATGGTGGTGCTGCTGGGCTTGGAAAGACAACCAAACTAGGAGTGGGAAGGCCTGGGCATTAGGAGGAACCATATCATTTTCTGAATCAGGGCACTCTCTGTACCAGTAGAAAGCTGGCATTTACAGTGGCCTTAGTCTTGGCTGGCACTATCCAAAGGAAAGATTCCATCAAGGAATAGCTGCTGATTTTCACGTCTGCTGACTTTACACATATGAAGAGATGATAAGGCAATGGCTGTGAGTGAGACAGATTTCCATCCCCTCACAAAACACAGACATACACACAAACACATGCAGACACATATACACACATATGACCACTGCATCACAAGCCATCAAGAAACATACCGTCCCGTTCAGTCCGGTATATACCGACACACATTTACACACACAGAGCACAGCGGAACGTTACCATGGGTTTCTGTGGAGTGACTAAACCAAGCAAACTTCCCTTTCTTCTGATCAAGCAAGCCCGCTGGAGCGCCTCCTTTCACAGACAAGATGGTCATTTTCAAGAACCAGGAACAAGACATCAATAGAGAGCATGCAGTCATCCACGGGCAAAAGAAAGAAACAAAGAACTCAGCTTTCACATACAACATCCATTTTTATCTCCAAAAATAAACTAAAAAAAGTATAAAGAGCAATAAACCAAAACATATAAGAAAACATAATAAAATAGAACCAAAACCCCATATCACATGAATTAATAACACAGAACACACTATGGACACTGGGGAGCAGGAGTTACTCCAGCACAGGCTTCAGTGTACACTGGTCCATCTAGTTAGTGGCTTTCAGGAGAGGGCTTACTAGGAAGGGCCACCAGTCTGCCTCCTCTGGGAGGTGCCCTTTTACAGGCTCTGGTGGGGTAACTGTGAAAATCAAACTACAGCTTTGGTGTCTCCCTTCACCGGTACCCAACGGCCAGGTGACTTGGCCTCCTCCCCACCTGTAGTGGATTCAAGGGCTCCCTTACCACTTAGACCCAGGTCATGTCACTTGCGGGTGTAAAACAACTGTGGATCTACTTGCCCCTTTGTCCAATTCAATCGTTCAGTAAAAACCTACCAAGTGCTTCAGGTCTGATCACATCCCAAACAAATATGTATTTGCTTTTAATGGGGTTAAACAGGCAAAGGAGTTGCTCAATTGCTTGTCAGTGGGTGGTCTTTTGAGGAGGTTTGTATACAAGAAAGAATCCTGTAAGCTTTTCTTGGGTCAGGGCTGTAGTTGAAGAGGAGGATGTTAATGAGAGTGTGAAGACACTGATTACAGCAAGTGGAACAGGAGAGTTCTGCGTTCTGCACTGGACTTTGAGTTCTGGATATGAAATGCTTTAGCTAACTCCTGAGAAAGAGAGTTTTCCCACTCCATCTGATAGAACTGGCATGAACTGTGCCTCTGCCAGGCCCCAATGGAGGGTTGCTGGGACGAGTGGTGGGTAAGGCATAGTCACAGCTGACGAGTGAGGTGGGAAATCTGTTAGCACTCATCAATGGAATCACGTGCCCTGATGAAGAGTGGGCAGGTAGCCTCCCATCAGGCCAGGAAAGAGCATGGAGGTGAGGTCAGTCCAAGCTTTAGGTGCTTTTTTATCTCATCCTTTTCCACTGGCCCTCGGATTGCGATCAATGAACATCCTTGAATGCTGCTTGTTAGTGAAAATTCTGAAGACTGCTCATGACAGGAAAGAGTCAGGCTTATTTTCAGCCTATGGAAAGGGCCATTACCCAAGCACACATCTTTAAAAAACAAAGTTTGGAATAAGCAGAAACTTCACAACCAGTAGCATTATTTTTTTCATTTCTCAAAAATCGTATTTGAAAAAAGCACTGAGAGTTAGAGGAGCTGAAATGAATGACTTTGTTGAAATGTGCCTTCTAGAAAAAAGGTATGTCTCAATTTAGAATGATAACAGTCACCCAAGTGAGCATCTCATAATGAGTGGTCTTTTATTAGGAGTGGTAAACATGAGGCTGCCTGCCAGTCACCACATTTCCGTTCACACAGAGGTCAGGGGGGATGGGAACCCTGGCCAGTGATGGAAAGCCCAGAACATTGCGACCTGTTATACAGGAGCATTACCCAACTTTTGGTTTTGGCATCAGTATTGTCCCATCTTGTTCAATTTCAGAAATAACTGTATGATAATTTTAAAATCAATAGAAAGAGCTTGATAAAATCATGGCGATTCAATGCATAACCGATTTGACCAGGGCTGGTCTTTCATGTGGGCAAAGCTGGCAGCCAACTGCATGGAAAGTGATTTGAAAGCATCTAAATCATCTCCCTTGATGGGCCAGTAGTCTCCTCTGGACCTGCTCTTTTGGGTGAAGCTCTAGATCTGAAGGTTCGGTGATGAAATGAAAATATCGCACCTGGAAGAAGCAGTACATCAACATATTACTGCCTAGTAATTTGTGATGGTTTATCGCATAAACACATGAGGGAATAAGATGGAGAAGATGCGGTTGTGTTCCTTTTAAAGGGACTTGCTCCCCTAGAGAGATGGAGTTGGGTTCCTTCTTGGAAACTGAGTGTCCAAACAGTTAAAAGTTGAGAATTATAAATGCTGGATACTAATTCTGGGGATGAGATGGACAGCCTGACTCCTGTGGACACTCAGATGATGAAGTGGTTGGAAACCAAGGCAGAAAGATGGCAAAGAACCAGGTGTCTGAGGGCACCTCTCCTCTATAGGCAACCTAGTTGATGCCTGGAGAAGTGAGCTTGATGTCTGCTCATCTGCAGTGCTGTGATCATGCACCTTCTGTGGAATGAAATGTGCTTCATGGAATGGATTCATGAAGGAGAATGCCAAGGAAGAATGCTAGAGAGGAAGTGAATTTTTTTATTTTCTAACTTGATTGTTACTAGGTACTGTGGATCAAATTTGGGTCTCTGGGCTCTCCTGTCCCTTGGCTTCTGCTGAGAAGATTTCAAAAGAAAATGAGATTTTTGTGTAAGAGTAATTAACAGCTGCCATTGCAGGTGGTGGAAAACATAATCACAAATTTAGTAACATCACCAATAACTACAATGAGTTGTATAGACTGTATCTTGCCAATGACTGATTACATTTGAATTAATGTTTTCTTTTCCACAAACATCTACTCTAGTTGGCAACTATTGCTTGAATTGTGCTTACTCAGACTATTTCTGTGTCTCAAGGGAGGTGCACAGTTCTTGTCTCACATTAACCAAGGGTTTTCCTGACCTGCTGGAGACAGTTGTGCAGATACTGGGGAGATTACAATAAGCCATTTCTGACACAAGACAATCTCCTGAAATCGGAAATCACATGAATCGTGATGGGGGAGGAGGAGCACCAGTAGACCTAAGCTTTTGTGAAGATTGGCATTCCCTGGTATGCCTGAATTTGCAAATTCTCTGAGGGTTTTTATTCACTAAAGTTTAGGAATACTCCATTAAGAAAACAAGGCTGTGCTTGGAAAACATGGCTACACAGACCAGCTGGCCAGCCTTTTGGCAGCTGCAGTCAACAGAGAAAGAATGGGCTCACAGCACATGGCCCTCTCCGTAAAGCTAATGATTGTCTCCAGGCATGTCCTTAGATAGCTGAAAAAAACCCCTCTAAGTGGTGAGTCTGCTCCAGGCAGTTCCACTGTGTTAACACTCATGGTCTCTGTAAAAACAAATTCGATCTCATTTAGCCATCATGATGCAAAAAACGATGAAATGTGTGAACCCAAATATGGCCCACATCAGTCACACGAACAAAAAATGTGTTCAGAAGGGGCTAAGGTTTGAGAGTAAGAGCAACTTTAATTTTGACAAAGAAAAAGAATGTCACTGAGATTACTTAGCAATCAATCCACAAAGGAAATAGTAAGCAAAATCTTAAGTATTCCTTCCTTTAGTTTTTTTCCTCCTCCTTTCCTTCCCTTCCTCCCTTTCTTCCCATCCATGAGGCTGGAGGAGTTAACAAGGAGAAGTATCCACATATAAAATATCTGGCCTTGCTTCTTGAGGCCTTCTGTCTCAGATAGTTTTACGTGTCATAATTGACCAGGTGACATTAGAGCCAAACTCCATTGAGGGAACAAGGAATACACCTGGGGAGGGATGGAGAAATCTGCCTAGTTCTGAAGCCTTTGGTCACCCCAAACAGCTTTGACATTGTTCCAGGGATGGGCCTTTGCAATGCCCTGTTGTAACCATCCACAAGAATGGCTGGTCTCTCTTGGGATTTGCTAAGACAAATGCCCAGTCTTCATTCTGGAACTGAGCTGGTAGCCTCATTGCCCAAGGTCAGAGGACTCATCAACTGCTATCAGTCTTTATCTCCTCTTGTTGGCAGATGGCTGGTGCATCAGGACCAGACATCTCAGGCAGGAGATGAAGGCATTTCCCTCCCTACTTGAACTTCTCTTGTGCTATGGAGCGCCACCAGGAGCCAATGGGCTGAACCCAGCGTCAGCCTGACTGCTGGGGCGCAGGTGCTCAGGCTTTCACACACTCTTGGGTGGATTGGAACTGAAGTGTTTACTTCGCAGATGCCCATTTTATAATACTATCTTTTTTTGCACATGAGTGGTATAATAAATATTTGTTTTCTCAAAGTACTACTCAGAGTACTAACAAGCAAAAGGATTCCAAATTTCCTACCCTCCCTGACTCCAACCTGAAATCTAAAACTCCCTGAGATCTGGCTCCATCCTATCTGTGATGGCTGAAGGTATCCCCTTAGAAATTCATATGCTGAAGTCCTAACTCCTATGCCTCAGAGCTGTATTTGGAGAGAGAGTTTTTAAAGAGGTAATTAAATTAAAATGAGGTCATGAGTTTGGGCTCTAATCCAACATGACCAGTGTCCTTATCAGAAGAAGAAAGTTGGATACAACCACTCACAGAGGGAAGATGACATGAAGACATAGGGGGAAGACAGCCCTCTACAGGCCACGAGACAGACCTGGGGCAGATCCTTCCCTCATGGCTCTCAGAAGCAGCCAACCCTGCTGATGCCTTGATCTTGGACTTCTGGCCTCCAGAACTGCGAGACAATAAATTTCTGTGGTTTAAGTGACCCAGTCTGTGGAACTTTGTTAGGGCAGCCCTAGCTGACTAAAGCACTATCTAGTCATCCTTTTTTCCTGTTACTTCTGGCAGAAACTCGCCACCCAAGTCAGGCTGCCCTCCTCATTGTCCCTTGAATGTGCCATCTTTATCCTGGTCTCTGGGCTTTGGTATATACAATATTCTATATCATACCCTCTCCTGGGGTGCTGGTCCGTGTCCCCTGCATGCCACCCAGGGGTCAGGAAACTACAGCCCTTGGGTCAGATCCAGACGGCCACTTGTTTCATGTATGAAGTCTCACTGGAGCCCAGCCACGGCTGTTTGCTCTGTGTGACCCATGGATGCCTTCACACCACAGGGTCGAATAGTTGTTCTAGGGGCTCTGTATGACTTGCAAAGCCTAAAATAGTCACTAACTGGCACTTTAGAAAAAAGTGTGCTGAC